CTAGAATTAGGGAATTAGCCCACCATTAATGAAGGGCAAGCGGCGCGTGGAGTTTGGGGAGGTTTGCAGAGCACTTTTCCTTCGCTTCGGTCAGCCCCAGAGGAAAACGCAAGGAAACTTGTTATTGCTGCCAATTTTCCTCCAAAGCATGCGTCGGATGGTCTCTCAATTCTTTGGTCAAAATCGAGTAAAGAGAGAGAGCCCACCAAGTCCACAATGGCGGCTACACTTTGCTTTCTTTCTTTTTATCACCAAAGAGACATACGAGAGATTAGAGAATTGTTTTCCATTTCTCAATTTGGTCCAAGAACCATGAAAAGCTGACAAAATCCCCAAAGTCAACAAAAAACGGCTGGTATCTGCCAAGAGAAATAATATAAAACTGCCGCACTCCCCTCTCATCCAAAAACAAAGGAAAAGACTGCCCTTTAACCTAAGCCGCGCGAGAGATCAAATACAATCCCCACAATAGCCGAAAAATTGTTACTTGTCCCCCGAAGTTGCAGCCAGACTCCCTAAGATATATTAAAATAAAATCTATTACAATTAGGTTTCTTCAACTTCTCAAACGGGCCCCGCGTCCGATGAATCTTCTAAAAGTTGAATTTAGGCACTTTTCAGCAACCATTCCTGCAATTAGCACCAAAACAAAATATCAGTAGAATCCACCCAATTAACGAAAATATTTAGTCAATTAATTATGCAATAATGCCCAAAATACCCACTAAAATGCAACCTATCATTTGTATCCATATAGAAACATCCAAATATGATAAGTTTTATAGGTTGGATTAGGAAAATTTTTGACTAAATCTTGCAACTAGCATTGGCTAGGCTGAAAGGGTGCCTTAGATCAAATCTTTTTCTTCCATTTCTCCAACCGTAACTTTCGAACTCATTTTCTCTCATTTTTAAAAACCTGGAGTAGTTTAAAAGGATTTTATTTATTCTTTTCATTTAAAATATATTTTGGGTGATTTGGTATACTTAAATTCAATACCAAATGGCGACTCTATTTTTTTCTAAAAATACTTTTTAGACTATTGGGTCCAAACCGTCGCATTTTCTATGTCCCATTTTAGATCCTTTTTTCTTTATTTTCTAAAATCAAAAACTCATTTTTCTAACACCCTTTTCTATTTTATTTTTCTCTTTTATTTTCAAAAATGAGGTGCGACAAATAGGAGGTAAATAGGTTGCAAAATTTGATAAGAGATTGCGCAATTTGACAGAATCAAGGTAGGGTAAAGAGATAAAAAAAAAAAAGGTAGGGTAAAGAGAAGGTAAAGTTTGTGAGAGGGAGAAGACTTGGAGGGATGTGGGAAGTTGGGTTAGGAAGGTAAGGACGAGAGTAACGAGGAATAGAGGAATATTGAGGGGGAGTAACGCAAAAAGAGAAAACATGGAAAGAAGGGGTAACAAATTTGTATTTGGTATACTTTTAGTATTTCTTTAGGTATTTTTATGATCTTTGCTCATATTTTTTTAATATACTTAAGGTTTTAAATAAGATACATAAATACAATATAAATTAGATACTAAAATAGTGCTCTTTTAATTTTTTAACCTTTTTTTCATGTAACAAATAAAAATAATTTATTTATTATTATTATTATATTAAACGTAAATTCGTGCATAGCACGTGTTACAATACTAGTTAAGTATTAACCCTTAGATTACAAATGACTTTGATTTGAAGGTCGAAACTTTATTGCCTTTCATTCTTCACAAAATGAGAAACGGGTGGCTGTTGGCCTAATATGGGATCAAAAGGATTTTGAGAATTACTTTATATAAGTTCAACATACAGAGAGTTGCCTCTAACTTTTTTTTTTTAGACAGAAAGATCTTTAAATTTGGCTGACTATGTTCATTGGACGGAATGTGGTGGATTTGTTTGGGAAAAATAATACTAAATTTCACTATTCGGCCTTGTCCCCAATTTTGATTAATTTCCACTCCCCTGGTTCTTGGGCACCATGTTCATTTACTTGTTGATTGAATGTTGATCCAAGAGTTTGTGTGGTTAATTTCTTGAAACCAAGAAAATGGTGCATAATAAACCAAAAAGACAGAATAATTTATATCTATACCTCACTGATGATTACTGTTCAAATACCTCCTCCTCAATATGAGTAATAAATAGACCTACTTCCCTAAGCCTCTAAGCCATGAAACCAAATCCAAATCCCAGGCCATAAGCATCCAAATCCTAGGCCATAACACCCTCTTCTAAGTGGCTACTAGAATGGAAAAAAAATCAGGCTGTAGGTTGGGGCTGGCTGGATTCTCCTGTCAATGCTCCACTGCCAGATAGTGGATGTATACTATCTCTACATTGACTGCGGGGTACTATATCCATTAATATGTGCCTTCTGCCATCTCCAGGCTACCCGCAAACTCTCCTGAAGATCGGTATATTTTGTAGTCAGAAATAGCCAAAAACAATGTTAACGAAACTAATAAAATGTAGCTTGAGTCGTGCTTAATAACACTGTTCTAAAAAATTATTTCGTGAGGTTGAAATGTTTTTCCAAGATTAAACAAGCCTTTTTCTTGTTTATAACAAGAAGGATCAAAACTTCAGCAACCATCGATTAAATCCAGCAGAAAGGGAAAGAAGGAGAAGAAGAGAAGTAGAGGCAGGAAAGTCTCTACTGTCACTGTCAGCTGTTGGTATATCTCTAAAGTGGAAGCACAGCTGCTATTTATAGGCAGCAGCTAGTGTACGTTGGTGAGAAATAATATCTGATAACATAAAAAAGACATGGCTAATTTTCTATGAAACAGAAAGTAATGTTTAATTTATTCTATGTAACCGAAAGTAACGTTAAAAGGGAACGTTATGAAACATACCAAACCTTCGTAACCGATGAAATAAAAGTTTATCTTCTCAAGAAAGAGTCAAATTTTGATTTGTAAAATATGAAGTAAAATTTATTCTTGGTCACAGGAAAACTCACTTTGGCCGCACTTAACCCACGCGCGAGAGGGGAAATCCATCAGTTTGTACTGAAACGGCACAACTCAACTTTCCTCTCATGCGCTTGAGCCCACACTAATTACTAACTTAACACAAGCCAATAAGAGACTACGCATTATAAATGATGAGAAGTCCTTTTAGTTTTTTGATGTGGGACAAGATCTTTTGAAATTTCTCTTTTATTTACAACATATTTTGCTGTCCAGTTTAGTTCTTTCTTTCCTAAGTTTAGTTGGATCACTGTAAACTTCAGCATAATCACCAGGCCGACGGGGAAGGTTGTCGACCTTGAGAGGTACTCCCGTGGCCTTCTTGCAGGCCTCCACAAACTCCTTTACAGATCAACCTGAAATAGAAAATTATGATTCGCATAAGAAACGGCTAATATGGCCAACTAAGTTACAGGTTATAACAAGAAATGTCTTACCTCTCCCTATTCCAACTTTCCCAGGCTCTGCCTTCTCAAGGGCTTTGACATGAGCATCAACAAGATCAGTGACATCAATATAATCCCGGATACAAGTTCCATCTTCAGTCTTGTTGTCTGTTCCTCTCACATATAGCACGTAGTAATTTAACCAAAATGAACCCACGAAAAGACACAATAAGGGTACCAACGAGTCAAGTCAAGTTCAAATACTAATATATTTGAGCTTGAGCTTGAAGATATTTACCCTAACTCAAACTTGAAGTTGACAAATGTTTATTTGGGAAAGGGTGCCAACATTGATGCTCTTATATAAGGGCCGTCTAGACTTTATATTAAAATATAAACATTACACTATCCCCACATTTGGTACATAGTAATGGCCTAAAAAGGAAAGGGGTTTCTAATTTGTCCATTCTATTCCAAGTTTGATATAGATTATTTAAGTGAAAAAGTTCTTTTCCTCTGAACTATTGTTTTTTTTTAGTAGAATCCCCAAAATTGAAAAAAAATATCTAGGAAAAACTCTTTCCAACTTTATTACAAAATATCCAAAACGGTAGGATGTCAAATTTATTCTTATAAATATTTTTTTTCTACCTCATCATATCGTAGGATATTTGTGAGCTCAATTAGTAATTGAATGTATTTTTTATAATAAATTATTTTTCTTGTGTTAAAATAAAATTTTCTTTCTTACTAGCAAACATATGTTTTAAAATACTTTATTCTTTGACTTTGAATAATTGTGTGAAAATATTTTTGAATTTCATATAAAAAATAAGAGCATTATAAAAAATTAAAATTTTATCATATTTGTTTTGATTCATGTAATTTACATTGCTAATTATATATCTTGCGGATGCAAAACTATAACATAAAAATCTATAGGCCACAATGAATCAAATATTACAATTGAAAAATTTGAGTACCAATCCCCAATTATTCTAAAAGCAAAAAATGACTAAATTTCACATAAATAAACCAGTAACATAGTAGAACAAATAAAGCAAAAGTAATAAAAATGGTATGTTCTATAGATAAATCCAGAATAATTAACTCAAGTTTGTATTAATTGTATTTTATTCTGGCATCTAAATCTTGATTATATCAAACACCGAAAAATGAAAGAACAATCTACTCTATTAGTATACTAGACATTGAAATAAATAAAAACAATAATCTTCCTACTATTTTTAGATATCGTAACCAAAACCTATTCATTATATCAAACACCGGAATCAGAAGGTTCACAAGTTCAATGGACAATCTAGGAATATTATTTTAAGACTTGACAGTCAACTTCATTGACTAACGTCAATGAACCAAGGTCAAGTATACATTCCTCTGGTAAATAGGATTGACTTTTCCTTAACCTCAAGTGCAGCAACCCCGTTTTCCTTAACCTCAAGTGCAGCAACCCCGTTTTCGAAACTTTCCTAATATCTTTCCTAACCGTTTCTTTTGTGGATTCTCTCTTAGGAAAATCTGTCCCTATTTATTACCTCTTTCTCGATTCAAGAATTTAACTTACCTAGCCCATTCGCCTCTTATAACAGAAGACAAGAAAATATACAGAGTGATAGATAAATGGCTGACAACATTCCTATAGGGTTTCGTTTTAGACCCAGTGAGGAAGAACTGATCTCCCTACTTTGGCTGAAGGTTACAAACCAGCTTGATGAAACGGACCATGTGAAGGAGAAGATACTTTACGGCGAAGGTGCAGAACCGTGGGATGTTTTGGGGGATGATGATGTTCGTTGGCAATTCTGTGATGATAGCGGAAAAGGGGCTAGTACGAAAAGAATGGTCTATGTCTTTACCAAGTTGAGGAAATTGAGTGCCAAGAAAACTGCGAGAACGGCTGGTTTGGGGACGTGGGACGGAGAAACGAAGTCGTACCCAGTTGAGGGTATGATTACTGGTGAGAAAATTGGGTCAAGGAAGATGCTAAGTTATGTTCTGAATTCTGGTTCAATAGGGGTGAAAGGTGGCTGGATAATGCACGAGTATTCGCTGGATGGTGCATCATTGAATGGGTTAAACAGCAGTCATAATACTGATTATGTTCTTTGTAGGATAATAAAGGATGATTCTAAGTTTACCAAAGTCAAAGAATCTGCAACGAAAGGAAAGGTTGCCAAAGAAAAGGAGGTTGGAAATCGTGGATGCCGTGAAGTTGTCCTGGGCAAGAGAAAGATGAATCTTGAACAAGAAAGTTCACAAGCGAGTAAGTAGTCATGTAACAATCCAATGGATGAGTTGCCTAATTTGGTTAATTGTGGCTATGATGGATACACAAGAAGCCTACAAACATATACAGGTTCATTGGATGATGCTGTGCAGCCAATCATCTGTTGGAATGGCGACCCTTACTTGGGATCAGTTCCTGATATGGTGCACTGTTCCCTTAGAAATTAATTTTGTAGTGGCTTACATTCAAAAAGAAAAAAACTGTAGTTAAATATTTGATTTTGTAGTTTTGGATACTAAATTTATTAGTAGTGGGCTGCGTGTGTGTGATGATCACATAAAACAAGATGGGTGGATTTTCAAGAATAAAGCAACATGATCTTGTAGAATTTGATTTTATCGTTTTAGCAACTTACTATACCAGCAACAAGATGGATTCCATAAAAGGGTGAACAGTTGTATCGAAAAAGCTGAAGTGGAGTTTATGTGATTGTGATGCTTAGAAAATGCAAAAAGCAACGATTTTCAACTGTAGAAAGTACATAATCTTTTCAGCTTGAAAGGAACTAGCAATCCATCAGCAAAGTAAATGTTGCAAGTTATCTGGTACTCGCCTCTAACTCTAAAAGTCAATTGTCCAAAATAGTTGGTTTCACAGCAAAATCTGTCAAATCTGTAATGAAGCCAATGAAACAAGTGAATTTGATGCTATTTATTTCTGTCATTTTTCCTTTTTTTTTTTAAATTTCTTCCAAAGAATTACAATAATTAGAAATGCAATATTACCCTTTCTGCTTCTTCAAGGTTTTGAACATCATCTTCAACACAGCTGGAAGAATGTGAGGGGAGAAGCCAACTTTTAGTGGATAAAAGCACCTGCAACATCTTTGAACCCTTTCCACTAAATGAATCACGAATATAACCTGCTCTGCTAAATTTAGATTCCAGAGCAGCTCTGGAGACGGGAACAACTAACAGATCATGAGCCATATTTGAGAGAATGGGGAACCTATGATTATTGCCCTTCCACCAACCCAAAACATCAAAATAATCCCAATCTTGTTCAGTAGGTTCATCCAGATACCTCTCCAAATCTGATTTTCCATCAGCAAAAGCAGCAAGAGCTTCCTCCCTTCTCTTTTGAATCAGATACTTCTTAAAGTCACTGGGAAAAGATCTTGCACCTGATTCAGGTTCTTTCTCGCTAGAAGATGACTTTTCAGGTACATATAATCTTTTATATTCATCAAACAAGGTAAAAGCAGCCTCTCTCGCAATTTCTCCCATTTCTGGAGTCAAATGTAATTCTGAAGGTAAAGATTCAAGAATTTCCAGCTTGTATCGAGGATCAAGGATAAGGGCAAGGTAGATTACCAAATTCATCTCTTTATATTTTCCCCAATAGTCTGTATATTTTTCCCTCAATCTCCTAGCCATCGAACTGATGCCCATTTCAGTACTGTCTTGCCATTCACTCAAGAGATGATGAACCTCAAACAACCGAGCAAAGATTGTGTTTGTTGTGACATGTCTAGAGCATGAAAGATGCAATGTTAGCCCATACAGGTGCCTCAATATCTGGATAAACCACTCGACCTTTTGCCAATCATCTCTGTTAGGCATACCAGCACCCCTAGTTTCACTTTTACAATGAGGATCTGATTCCTGAAACTTCTCAAAGGCTTTTTGGAGCTTTTGGGCTGTATCCAACATAAAAAAGGTGGAGATCCAGTTGGTGGGGACATCCATGCATAGCATTCTCTTGTTGCCTATTTTCTCTAATTCCACACATTCTTTAAACTTTATCAACCTAGCAGGAGAAAGCACAATAGAGTGGACCATTTCCCGAATGCGAGCAACTGATTCACCTATTTCTTGCAAGCTGTCAGAAGCCATAATTTTGATCACATTATCAATGTATCTTAGATGAAGATACTTGCCACCAAGCAAACTGTTCTCTGAATTAGAGAATCTTGTTTTCAAGTTATGAATGGCAACATCATTTGACTGCGAGTCCTCCTCCACAGTTATAGCAAAAATCTTATCTATTCCCCAATCAAGTAAGCACTTCTCAACTGCCTTTCCTATGGCCCCTGCACTATGATCAGATATCGGACAAAACTCTTAACACATTTTTTTCAGTTTCCAGTTGGAATCTAGAATATGGGCTTTGACACATAAATAAGTAGTTTCCTGCTCAGATGTCCATGCATCCACAGAAAGACTAACCCTTTTATCACCTAAGATGTTCTTTAACTTTGTCTTCTCCTCCTCAAACAGTTCATAGCAGTCCCGATTAACCGTCGAACACGATGGTATCCGAAAAGAAGGACATGCCAGAGACATGAAAATCCTAAACTTTTCCCTCTGAACATCGCTTGGAGTCTGTTCATCACAAATTAAGCTACGAGCAAGAGCTTTCCTACTATCTTTCTGATTAAATACAAACTTATCAGGATCTTGATTATCCCGAGCAGTCCACACAAAAGCTCTTATCAAGTGGTCCTTCATGATGTTAGGAATGGAATAATTATAACCTTCAAAACTTGAATTAACAACTCCTCACTAATAGCTCGCCCAATATTCTTCAAATATAAATATGGGGAAATAATTATTAACCAAAAACAGAACTTTTCTTAATGAACATTTTCCAGCAAATGCAAGGGAACTAGAGGGTATAGAGTAAAAGTGGCTAAGAAATGAAACACAAGAAAAGAAAACAAGAAGAATGATAATAATGGTAGTATATAATTGGGACAAAATGCAAACGGGGCAAAAAAAAAAAAAAAAAAAGCAAGCTCAACCCACAATTCAGTTTAATTGAAAGAAGGTAAATACAAAATAGGAGTAAAAATTAAAGAATGGGAAAAAAAATCTTGAAGGGATAAAAGGGCTTACAGTTGAGAGCAAGAGCCTGCATCGTGATCATGGAACTTTGGGTTTTCCCCGAGATGAGGAGGAGATGGCTATTTGGTTGTGAGGTAAAATGTGATATTCATTCTTGATTGAAGAACCTTAGTGGAATTAATGGGGAATATAAAGATCTGAAGACCAAAGGATAGGTTCTACCTCTTTCGCTTTAGCACCGATTCTTTAGGCTGTGAAACAGAGAAGAGGAGAGGAGATTGGAGATTTGAGTTTTTTTTTTTTCAAATTTCCCGCGTTTCATGCTTCCCGCTCTCACCATGAAATCTACACTACATGTACGCATAAAGGGAGGTGACTTTTGGTATACATAAAAATTTGTAACGTTATATATTTTTAAATTATCTTTGATAACAATCTATTACAAATATAGCTTTCTATTAAGTAATATGTATTTTTTCTGATTTCATTTTTCAACTGATTAGGTAAATCTTAATTTTTATTAGCAACTACCAATTATGGTTACGAATTATGATTACTTGTATATAACTATTTTTTATACACTTGATAAATTCTCTACATATGTATTATCAAAATATAAAACTAATTTTTAAGAAATGATTTCAATAAATATACACAAAAAAATTTTACAAATATTTGTCCTATTACTTGCACACACATCAGGATGTGCCCTGAACACTAGTATAGTTTATGTATTCACATTATATGAATTTTTTTCTCAAAAGTATGATTATTATATGAATTGTTTACAGTAAAAATTCTGTTAAACAAATACAAGTTTGACAAAAACAATTATGCATGATTAATATGGATATGTTTAAAAATATTGGTTGATTTGTAATGCATTTTAGATGTAATGCTATATTAATATTAGTTTTTACTTATAATTTTGGGGGTGAAAAATAAATCTAGTTATAATTTTATCAAATTATTGATATTATATGCATATATATTCAGAAAAGAGTACCATGCAACTTTTTTTGCTTTAATTTTTGTCAACAAGATAAGGATAGGAATCGAATCACATAAGCAGAATGGAGATTTGAACACAATATGAGTTTATATATATATATATGCACTAATCTCGCATTCAATGATCCACTTGCAATTAATTTATCTAAGTTACAGAGTGCATCTTTATAAGACGAGGGAATTTGTTATTCTTAGTTAAGTGCACTGATAAATGAATGATATATTAGTAGTTGAACTTGGCTTGACTCAAACTTGCCCTTACTGTGTATTTTTGGTGAGTTCATTTTGGTTAAATTACAACATGCCATGTGTGAAGCCAAAATCCATCTTTTAATTCTGCTTCTTAGATAATGTGCCGTATGCATACTGCTTCATTACAACAATCTCATTGCACGGCATAATGTGGTAGATTCTGAATTTTAACTTTCTTTTTTATTATAAAATTTATAACTTAAATGCAAAAACAAATAAGAACACAAAATAAATGATTATCCAAGAAATGAATGAATTTGTGTGAACAAATTACACACACACACACACAAAAGTATTTGTGTGATCTAAGATACAAAGAGTTAATTTCCAACTCAGCATATAGATTTTCAAGTAGTTATCAGCTCAACAACTAAACAGTTCAAGTATATTGATAAATTCCTGTTCTTAGTTTATGGCACGCACAAACATTAATGCCAGATTGCCACACCACTTTTATTTATAGACCAAGGCTTTCCTAATAACTAAGTCAAATTTGATTTGCCAAAGGAAATAAAATAGAGTTGGTCACGGACAATCAACTCGATACGGACTCCGACACAACTATTAACCGCCCAAACATTTAGCAACAATTAATTTAGCAACTAACAAATAATAAACTACTCACTTAAAAAAATAAAAAGGCTTTTCTAATGGGTGCCACGTGAGCACTCATTAACAAATCTATATTCTATTTAATCTATCATGTATACATACACACACTAACAATTACTACTTTCTCTTACATTGATACAGTTTCATTAATTAACCCCCTTGCATTTATATATTTTTCCTAATTAATTTTATATTTCTAAAATTCTAAACACTTGAAATACATCGTAACAGGTGTCCAAGTAGACCGAAAATAAAATACTTGATTTAGCTCCTACATTGTCTTCATTAAGTTAAGATTTTCAAATTCCATCATGCCCAATATTTTTTTCAACTTCACAAATATCTTCAATTTTAGCGACTTTGTCAAAATGTCTGCGCCCTTATCTTTGCTCCTATAATCGATAGCAAACTCTTGATTTTGAACTTGTGAGCGACTTTGTCAAAATGTTAGCTAACTTATCTTCACTCTTGTAATCAATAACAAACTTTTGATTTTGAACCAATTC